CTGCGCGTGCGGTCAGGAATTCTTGGATATCGTGTCGCTTCGCCAGTTCTGGCCCACCACAATTCGGCGCTTCACGCCATCCACTCCCCAGTCCCCGAGCGTCCACATCCCGAGCCCCTCCCAGCCTCCCGCCCTGTGGAACGGAGCGACGCGCCACAGCCAAGACGCTGAAACGAGGACCGCTTTGGGCTCGAAGGGGGCTCGCCTTCGGTCCTGTTCCTCTGGCCGTGCTCGTGCACGCAGGGCAATTTCTGGGGCCCAGAAGGTGCTCCGTTCCTCGTTCAGCGTCCCTTCTGGCAGCACCTCGACCTTCTTTCCTCTCACGGGGTGCAGCGCGTCGCCGGGGCTGCCGCGGCGCCGCGCTGAGCTGAAGTCGGGCACGCCCCTCTGCAGGAGAGTAGTTTCGATGTTGTCTGGATCTGCTTCAGGAAAAAAAAGCACAAACGTCTGTGGGGAAAAAAACAACACGTGTGTGTGTGTGTGTGTTTTACCACCGTGTGTGTGTGTGTGTTTTGTTGTGTTGTGTGTTTTTGTGTGTGTGCTTGTGTTTTTCCCCACCGTTTTTTCCCACAGTGTGTTTTTGCTTGTTTCCCACATGTTCCATCTCTCTTCCGAGATCCGCCTGTCGGAGGACACGCCCGACCCAACTGACGCTAAACAGCCGTGCCAGGGCCGCGGGAGCCTCGCCCTGCCTCCTCGCCGTCGCCGCGCGCCCCCTCGCCCTGCCACGCCCCTTCTACAGGAGACATACGCCGAGCATGCTGCAAAACTACAAAGGGCACGGTGTTGTTATTATTTCCCAGCCATCCTGTGGTGCTGGGTCCTCGTTTTGAAGAGACGGTGCCCCCCGTTCCTCTCCTCTCCTGTCCTCCCCGCTCCTCTCCCCCCTCTCTCTCTCCCCTCTCCTCTCCTCTCCTCCCTCTTCCTCCTCACCCCTCCTCCCCCCTCCCTCCCTCCTCCTCCCTCCTCCCTCCCCCTCCTCCCCCTCCTCCTTCCTCCCTGCGCTTCACCCACCCAGTACAGCATGTCGTGGCCCCATAGGGAGCCCCACCGAAGGTTTCAGTGCTACCGCCCGCATGCATCCCGCATACCCAGTACAGCGTTTCGTGGCCCCCTCCTCCTTCCTCCCTGCGCTTCACCCACCCAGCACAACGTTTCGTGGCCCCATAGGGAGCCCCACCGAAGGTCCCAGTGGGACCGCCCGCATGCGTCCCGCACACCCAGTACAGCATTTCGTTGCCCCCTCCTCCCTCCTCCTTCGTCTCACCCACCCAGTACAGCGCTTCGTGGCCCCATAGGGAGCCCCACCGAAGGTCCCAGTGGGACCGCCCGCATGCGCCCCGAACACCCAGCACAGCGTTTCGTGACCCCCTTTTCCCTCCTCCTTGCACTTCACCTCCCCAGTACAACGGTTCGTGGTCTCATAGAAAAAAAAACATCGAAGGTCCCAGTGGGACCGCCAGCGTGCGTCCCGCACACCTAGTACAGCGTTTCGTGGCCCCCTCCTCCCTCCTCCCTGCGCTTCACCCACCAAGTAGAGCGCTCCGTGGCCCCATAGGGAACTCCACCGAAGGCCCCATTGCCACCGTCTGCATGCGTCCTGAAAACCCAACTTGGCATTTGCACCAACCCAGTCCAGCATGTCGTGGCCCCATAGGGGGCTCCACCAGAGCCCCCAGTGGGACCACCCGCATGCGTCCCATACACCCAATTTGCCATTTTCATCCACCTAGTACAGCGCATGCACCTAGTACAGCGTAATTTGGCATGTTCACTCACCCATAGGGGGGCTCCACCGAAGCCTCAAGTGGGACCGCCCGTATGCGCCCTGAAAACTTTGTGTTGCATTTTCACCCACCCACTACAGCGCTTCGTGGCCCCATACGGGGCTCCACCGAAAGCCTCCAGTGCGACCGCCCGCATGCGCTCCACACACCCGTTTTGGGATTTTTCACCCACCCAGTACGGTGTTTCGCGGCTCCATAGGAAACTCCACCGAAGCCCCCGGTGGGACCGTCCGCGTGCGTCCAGAAAACCGAATGTGGCATTTCCAATCACCCAGTACAGCGCTGCGTGGCCCTTATGGGAAGCTCCACCGACGGTCCCAGTGCTACCGCCCGCATGCGTCCCCCCCACCCAGTGCAGCGCTTCGTGCCCTCATCGGGAGCTTCACCGAAGAGCTCTTCTTGTCTTCACTAGATATGCCTGGCCGCACTTGTTGTTTTCAGCTTGTCTGCCAGGTGCCCGCCTGCAGGAGGACATGCCCGACCCAGCACTGCGCCTCCCTCCGCGCCGCGCCCGCCGCCGCTCGGGGCGCGGCCGCGCGCCGGACAGGGGCACCCCCCTCCAGGCCAAGCGGCGGCCCCGGGGCGCTCCCGTCGCGGCACGGCAGAAGGGCAGTCTGCGCGGGCGATCGGGCTGCCGGGGGGGGCGCTCGGCAAACGAAGTGTTCGGGGCTCAAGAGACGGGGGTCCATGCAAACGGGGTCAGCCAGGGCACCAGGTCTTGCAGGATCCTGCGCAGGCCCCCCTCGGGCTGACCCGGGTTAGCGAGCCGCTCGTGGCCGCGAGGCGGCCGCGCATATTGGCTGACCCGGGTTTGCGAAGACCTGCGTTGCATGTTTGTTTCATGCATTGCAGTTGTTTGGTTTCCTGCTGACTTGGGTCTGGATTGACTCGGGTCAGAAAATCCCTGAAGTGTTCCGGAGGAGGAAAAATGGAGACCGTACCTCTACTCTCCCCTCGTTGTTCCCCCTTATTTGGGGCCTCCCATGGGCCTTCGTCGTCGCCACCGCTGGCTTCGCACCCCAGGAGAGGTTCGGGGAGTAGCGGTATTGGTACCGGTTGTCAAGGGCGGAAAAACCACCTGGACCGGACAATCGGCGTTGATTCAACTGCCCTGGGCGTTCACTAAAAAGCCTTGCCCTGTTCGATTCCTGCCTTGGGTGCGTTTACTAGACGGCCTCGCTTTTGTCGGGGCGGTTTTTACGGGGGTGGATGTTTAAAACAGGGCTAGGATCGGGATAAATCGCTCCAGAGCGTTCCAGAGCGCTCTCAGAGCGTTCCGGAACGCTCTGGAGCGGCCGCGGCGCCCAACACATCCTCCAAACCCGCCGATTCTCAGAGATTTCGAGTCATCCCGATCCGATTTTGTCCCGATCTTCGCGTCGTTTTGATGTTTTGCTTTCTGTTTTCCGTGCCCCCTTTGCTCGGCTGCAAAGAGGGGGCGCGCGCGGATGAGGGGCGGTCGCGGAGGACGGGAGGGGGGAAGAGCGCTCGCCGCAGAAAGCTCTCGGGGCGACCCCAAAGGAAGGTCCAGCGGAAAGGGGGTGGTGCACTAGACTTGGGGCAAGTGTATTGCACATGTACTTCCCCAGAGCATTGTATTGCATTGTACAGTTGGGGCCCTGAAGAAGGAGCCCTTTTGGTTGGGAAGGGGCTCCGCGTTCCTTAAATTCGCAGGCGATGTTTCTCCCCCAATCCCCGAGTTTCGCCCAAAAAGTTTGGCCGCTCAGAAAAATGGAAAAACCCTGGGATACACCCCAAGGGGGCTATTCGGACGCACCCCTATCGAGGATGGGCACCCCCCCATCGTATATCCCAGGGTTGGGCCCCAAATTTCTGGTCCATTCGGAAACCCCACGAAGCCTGGGATAGGGGTCGACATATCCCTTGTTATAAATGTTTCACAGCTTGCCTCAGGTTTTCCTCATGTTTTCGATAGGAATTCGAAGTTTAACTTATGGAGAAAAGGGGCCTCGTTCCTTATTTAGGAATCCTTAGGTCCACGCCTCGACTGTAGTGCAAGCAATGTCTTGCACACGAGCAGCAATGCAGCTGCGCCCCGAAATGTATTGCACGCCCCAGATGTGTTGCTACCCCACAAGTCTATCGCACCAAATCTATTGCACCCCCCCCTGTCGCTGGACCCCTTCTGGGTCAACCCGAAAAGCGTTTCAGGAGGAGCGCACCGGTGCGGCCAGCTGGAGCTGAAGTATGGCCAGGGCCAGACTTCCGACGATCATCAGTCTTCCACGCGCGGCCCAGAGGTCAAGGCCTCTTCCTCATGGGGCTCGCCTTTGGCCCCGGATTCGTATTGGATGCTCCAGCGGCCCGACAGAGGATGCCTGGGTTGCGGAACAGCGCCTGGACTGAACAGGCCATCTCGCCAGAGATCTGCATCTTCGCCGCGTCGCGCGCCTCCACTCTCTGCCTCGGACGTGGAGGAGTCTGATAGTAAGCTTCGCTGCGCCCTCAGCTCAGAGCCGAGCACCTGTTGATGAGATCTCGTGCTGGCAGTGCCGCGTGCCCCGTGCCTGCCTGCGCCTTGGTCCCTGCGAGATCTCGGCCGTTCCCTGCCTTCCGGCCGCTTTCCGACCCTCGCCCCGCCCGTCTTCTTCTTGGCCCTTGTTCGGTCCACCCTTGTCGCTCTGTGGCTGCCCTTCTCGGGAGCTGGGGCTGGACTCGGGCCGGGCGACCGGGCAGGACAGGGAAAGGGGGGGTCACGAAATCTGCTGCATGCAGCTGGTTTCGGCCCCGCCGCCGGGCCCACACCTCGACACACGAGCGCCAGGAGGCGCGCCTCCCGGCGCCAGGAGGCGCCAGGAAAGCCAGCCAGGTGAGCTGATTCTCTACCCTACCCCTTGCTATCCTACCCTTTTGTCCCCCCCGACTGACGCTGACCAACGTCCTGATAGACGCCACTCCGCCTCCCTTCAGCCACGCGCAGAGGGGGGGTTGGGCGAGGGGGGTGGGCTTCTTAGAAGCACCCCTGCTTCTCTGCAGGCGTGGGCCTTATCTATGCATGCGAGGCTGGCGCCTCCTGAGAATCAGCCTCCCTCTAAGAAGCCCTCCCCTTTACCAGCCTCGAACGCATCCCTATCCCTAAGATTGACACGCCAAAAGGCGATGACAATCTTAGACATCCGCCTTCCAAAAATAGGGGAACCATCCCTAAGATTGGCATCGTGAGGAGGAGGTGCCCAGCATAGGGATAGGGGGATTTGTTCCAGGCTGGCAATCCCCCTCCCTCGCACCACCCCTCCGTGCGCGCCGCCGAGGCCTGCCAGACGCCGCTGCCGCCTCCCTCCCCGAGCGAGCCGAGTGGGCCGCCCCTCGCGCGCGGCGCCCCCAATGCGAGGCCGCGGCTTCGAGGCGTTCCGGGGCCAGGGCCAGAGGCTCGGCGGCTGACGCGGGCGCGCGCCCCCCTTCTCCTCCTCCTCCTCCTCCTCCTCCTCCTCCTCCTCCTCCTCCTCCTCCTCCTCCTCCTCCTCCTCCTCCTCCTCCCCCTTCCTGCCCCGACGCCCGCGAGAGTCGACGAGCGCGTTCCGCTGCTCGCAGAGGAGCCGCTCGCAGGTGGCCCAGATCCGCCGCAGGAGAGATCCACGACATAAAACTGCACAAGAACAGGCAGACGCATGGTGCTTCGGGCGTCTGCGAGTGGGCACTCTGCGAATAGTGGAACGCGCTCGGCGAGAGAGGGGCTCGGTACTCAGGAGCCGCGTCCGAAGGGGGGGGAGAAGCACGGGCTCAGGGGGGGGCTGAAGATTGCCGACGGCTCTGAGATATAAGTCGGGCGTGTCCCTCTACAGGAGGACTTTTTTGAAGCAGTAAAAAACAGTGAATAAAAAAGTCTGGGGACGATAAGTCGGGGGTGTACCTCTACATGAGGATTTTCAAATAGTCTGGGGACGATTCTCCGTGCTCTTTTGTTCGGGTTCTGGATTAGTCGGAGGAATAGGAGTCTTTTCCTTGACTCGATTCCATTTTCTTCCAACATCCCCCTGCAGGAGGACATGCTCGTCAGAGTCCAAAAAGCTAGCTGGTCGGTTTGTTCTCACGGGAAACAACACAACACAACATCGAACTGTACACCCTCGCTCCTCACTCCGCCGCTATGACCGCGGCTGGGAGGGGGAGTTGGGAGGCCTCCTGTGGCCTCCTGGAGGTTCTGCTCTTTTGTTCGTCGGCTCTCGGAGGCGTTCCTGCTTCGGCGTGCGCCTCCAGCAGCTGCGCCTCGCCGAGACGCCAGGACCCGGGACCGTCGAACAGGTTCACGCTGCGAGAACATCGCGACGTCGGGGGTCTTGACTGGAGGCCATGGGCTCGGGGGGAGGGGGACGCAGCGACCACCAATCGCCCACGGATCCCGCGACTCGGGCCCGCCGGCCCCACCGCGCCGATGGGGAGCGTGTCGATCTGCTGCATCGGGGCCCTCTCGCCGATCTGTTGGAGATGCGTCGCCGATTGCAGCTCGATGTTTCCCCCGCCCGAGCTGGTTCCCCCTGGGTAGGATGTTTCCCCCCCCTGAGCTGGTCCCCCCCCCCGAGCTCGCTGTGTCCCCCCTCCTGAGCTGGCCCCCCCCCCTCCCCTGATGCGACCAAATGAGTGAGAAACGCCAGGGGGGGATCGCGGAGCCCCAGTGCGAGGTGGACCGTGGAAACATCTTCCCAGTTCGTCGTCGTCATCGTCGCCGTCGAGGCCGCGCGGCCGCCAGGCCGCAGCCAGCGATCCAGACGAGAAGTAATCAATTCCTCACGGTCAGGAGCTTAGGCTTAGCGTGTCGCTGCGCTGGTTCTGGCCCACCGCGCTTCGGCACGACACGCTATTCCCGCCCCAGCCCCCGAACGTCCACGCCGCAAGCCTTTTTGCCAGCCTCTCGCTCCGCGGAGCGGAGCGACGCGGTATCCTCTCGCAGGGCATAGCGTGTCCCGACCGCAATCGTCCCCGACCGATCCGTTTCTGCATCGTTTGGTCGCATCACCGCCGCCCCTCCGGTGTTGGTCGCCCGCGTCGTCTGGTCGGCCACGGATGGGGAGCCGGGCGTCTGGGCCCCGAGGACCTCGGTGCACACGGCGGCGCTGCCCGGTGTCCCACGTCTCCTAGGGGCAGCCGGCGCGTCTCTGTGCACCGAGCTCGTCGGCCGACCACCTGACCTGGCCCCATGCCTCGATCCCCTCTTCTGCACCTGCCCTTCTCGCCACCCTCCGCCGGGCCAGCCGGCCAGCGGCCGACGGGGCTCCCGGCTCCGATGCCGCGTCCACTCGGGGCCACCTCGGGGTGTTCCCGGCCGGCCTGGGAGCTGCCCTGGGCCCGCCCTGTGCCGTCCTGGGGGTCGTCCTTGGCCAGGCTCGGGTTGCCTTGTGGCACGCCCGCTCGCGACGTGGTAAGGTTTCTGCATTCTCCCGTTGGGCCTGAAAAGGCCGCACGGGCACGTGTCAAAGAGGGCACACCTATGGGGCGTTTCAAAGAGGGCCTTGCCTTCGAGGATCGAAGGAGTTGCCATATCTTCCGCGGCGGAAGGTCGGCGGAAGTAAAACGAGGCCGCCTCCGCCAGCGGAAGGCGGCGGACGGCCGGCGGAAGATGGCGGAAGTAATACATGCGCCCCCGAGAGATGAAAACGTTTTTGGGTTCGGAGTTTCCGCAGTCGCCCATATTGGAAGGGCACAGAAGTGCATTCACGCATCTGGGCGCTGGCCGAAATTTAGACCATTTGGAATCACACTGGGGATGTCGCGGTCGGCGTTTTGGAAGAACGCGCCGGGTTGGGCCCCAGAGGGGCCCCGAAGCCCTGCGTTGCCCGCTTCCGCCTTTGCAAGCCGACGTCCAGAATGCCGGCTCGCGCGCATGGCAAAAAAGCGTGGGGCGGGCACCTGCTTACTTCTCGGGTAAACGTACGACTCGAGTAATCCGGAACTCGGGTCTGCCCACGTTTTTTTTGACGAGCGCGTCCTTTGATTTTTTGACGGTCCAGTTTTCGTGGGATGTCTGCAGCGGGAGCTCGCGCCAAATTTCCAATTGGGTCTCGTCATTCTCGGGCCGGGCGAAAGGGGGGGATTGGGAAAGGGGGGGTTACGAAATTTGCTGCATGCAGCTGTTTCGGCCTCACCGAGGGGCCCATTCCTCGATACATAGCCGCCTCCGGCGCCGGGAGGCGCCGGGAAAATCAGCTACGTGAGCTGATTCTCAAACCCCCCCTTTGCTATCCCCCCCTTTCGCCCGACCCGACATTCGTACGATGGCCCCGTCAGGCCAACCCGAGTCCCCGTGCCCGAGTTCTACGTCTCCCCAAACCTTCGCCAGGAGCGGCGCACGAGAGGCACCAGCGGGGCAGCGCCGCGGCCGTGGCCGCCGCGGGGAGCGCGGCGGGCGGGTGTCGCGCGGGGCACAAGACAGTCCGCGAGCCGAGGGGCAGCGCCCCCCCGCCTCGTGAGGGCGCGCATGGGGCTGCTCTTACCACCCTCGGCTCGAGCGTGCGACCCGAAGCCTGCGGGCAGGAACGCCTGCTCGGGGTTCCGTCGGGCCTCGCCCTCTACAGGGGAAACATTCAAGCATTGTGAAATGGTAGTCCGGGGACGATTTTTCTACCACAGTTGACAATTGTTGAACCATTTGCGGAATAGGTTGTATTCATTGGCTTACGCCACACCGCCGACCCCTCGGGGCGGCAGCAATCGTCCCCCGCGTGGCCTGTCCGGACAGCCTGTGAGGCCACTCTAAACACGTTTTGGAGCTCTCTTAGGACCGGCCTGCCGTTCCCCCGGGCCGTTGCTATGGTTTCTTGGGGGCGCCCAGAGGCCGTCGTGGAGCCTTTTGGAGATTCTCTTGGGGTGCCAGAGGTCGATCTTGGAGGTTTACTGGGCCGTTGTGGGCCTCGTGCAAGCCCAAGAAGCGAATATGCTGCAAATGTACGTTTTCCCTAGGGAATGGGACGGTTCAAGCAGGAGCGCTTCGAGGTCGCGTATGCGAACGTCTTGGGCGCCCGTGGGGCTGTCTAGAGGCAATCTTGGGCGGTTTGGACCGAATCGTCCCCCGCGTGGGCCGTCCGGACAGCCTTTGGGAGCCCGCTTGGCCCGTTTTGGATCCCTCTTGGGACCATCCTGCGGCTTTCCTGGGCCGTTGATATGGTTTCTGGAGCTCTCGTGGATCGCCTGGAAGCCGTCTTGGAGCCTTCTTCGGAGCCTCTTCGGGTGACAGGGGTCGATCTTGGAGGTTCATTGGGCCGTTCTGGGCCTCGTGAAAGCCCACGAAGCGAATGTGCTGAACATGTGCGATTTACCTGGGGAATGGGACGGTTTTTGCTTTTGGAGGCCTTCTTGGAGCGCCTCGCGGTCGCGTTTTCAAACGTCTTGGACTTCCTAAGCCGTTGCTATGGTTTCTGGGGACTTCGTGGATCGCCCGGACGCCGTCTTGGCGCCTTTCTGGGAGCCTCTTGGGCTGGCGAGGGTCGATCTTGGAGACTTCTTGGGCCGCTTTGCGCCGCGTGGAAGCCGAATGGGCGAATGTAGTGAAAATGTACGTTTCCTATAGGAAATGGGACGGTTCTTGCTTCTGGAGGCCCTCTTCGGGGCGCCTCGCATTATTCTTTCAAACGTCTTGGGGACTTCTGGAGCCGTGTGGAGGCAGTGTTCGGCGTTTTGGGGCGATCTTTCGTCGATTTGAAGTTCTTTGGGACCGTCCTGGGAACCTTTGGAACCTTTTTTCGCCCTTTTTGGGGCCTCCTGAGGCTCCAAGTGTGCGGATGATGGATTTGATCCCCCCCCCGTCCAAACCGGCCTGACCAGGCTTGCTGGCCAGCAATGTTCGGGGTTGCTTGGTCTTGTTTCTTTGGGTTGCGTTCCTCGGGATTGGTTTGGATTCCTTACTGTCTGCAGTCCTCGCGTTGCTTGGGGTTGCTAGGTCTTGTTTTCTGTGCAGCGTTTGAGGCGTTCCTCGGGTTGTTTGGTCGTGTTTCCTTTTCGTGCTTGAATCGGCCTTCCTCTGGTTGATTGGTCTTGCTCGGAAATAAACATGGGAGCCTTCTTTGTCCTCGCAAATCCGTCGGTAGAGTGCATTAGCACACGCTAACGCAATCTATCAGAAAGCGCCTACGTAGCGTCGATCCGGAACCGATTCAGTTCGCGTCGGTTCGAGTCGATTCGTCAGAGCCCTCACGATTGTATGGGAGGATCCCATGAGTTGCCACCGAAGTCTTGTGTTTGTACTGCATTCCTCGGGGTTGCTTGACCTGGTCCCCTACCAAGCAAAATCCAGCAGCACCAAGCAACACCAAGTAACGCCAAGCAATGCCAAGCAACGCCAAGTAGCACCACGCAACGCGAAGCAACGTCAAGCAATGCCAAGACAAGTCAAGCAATGCCAAGCGATGCCAAGCAACGCCAAGCAATGCCGTGCAACGCCAAGCAATGTCAAGCGACGCCAAGCAGCGCCAAGCAATGCAAATCAACGTCACGCATTGCAATCCAGAGCAAGCAACACCACGCAATCACATATAACGCCTAACATCGTCAAGCATCGCAAAGCAACGCAGTGCAAAGCAAGCAACGCCACGCAGTCAATGGCAAGCGATGCCAAACAACGCAAATCAATGCGAAACACTGCCAAGTCACGCCATGCAACGCCAAGCAAAGCTAAAACATTCCATGCAACGCCCAGCATCGCCAAGCAATGTCAAGCAATGTCGAGCAGCGCCACGCCATGCCATGCAGCGCAAAGCAACGCCGAGCAACGCTAAGACACACCAAGTACTGCCAGGCATCGCTAACCAATGCAAAGCAACGCCACGCAGTGCTCAGCCTATCTAGGGTCGGGCCGCGTTCCTTTGGACCTTTGGCAGTGGGGCGATCGCACCGCGGTCGAAGCCGCAATTGTTTTACGGATTCGCGAGCACATGCGCAGTCAAGACATTGAAATAAGGACCACTTTGGGCTCAGGCGGGGCAACAGTTTTCGGACCGTTCTTCAGAGCTAGATCAGGGGCCGATTCGAAGCCGAGGCTCGCCGTGAGCAGAAAACCCCCTTCGTTCCTTCTTTTGGCGTTCCTTCTGATAGGGCGCTGACAGCAGGCAAAGCAGAGGCGCGGGCGAGGGAGCAGAAGCGGCCGCGGAGGGGGGCGGGAGGAGGAGGGTGCACTCGGAGCAGGAGGTGCCTCGGGATGCCGTGGTCTGCACCCCGAGGCTCCCGAGAGGGGGAGGCTCGTGCGACGCAATGGGGCAGTGCAGCCTGGCACGCTTGTTCTCGTGCACGCAGCCGCCCTCCTCTGCGGCGGGGCAGTGCCTTGTCGGGCGGCAGCATCGGTACAGATCCGCAGAACTCTGGCCGGGCCGTTCCTGGGCCAAGGGGCTGCGTGTACGCCCTCCTGGACCAAGCCAGGAGGGCGCGGCGGACGCACCGCTGCGGGGTTCAGGACGGGCCTGGCCGGGGAGCGGTGGAGATGTGTAGATGTCGGCGCCTTGTTCTGTGCGCAGGTCTTCTCCCGGGACTGCTGCCCGCTGACTTCTCATCTGCTTCCCAGTGCCGCCCCGCGCGCGCCCAGCTGTGCAGGGCGGTGTGGAATTGCCTGCCTTGGGTGATCTCGACGGAAGTGCGATCACATCGGCGATTATGGTTCTTCTTGCATTGGTCTGGCCGCGAGCTGCAACGCTCACGTCATCAGCATCTTACCGAATTTCTGTGGTCCAAGATTGCAGAGTTGTGCAGCGCAGTACATCCTCCTCCTGCCTCCTCCCTGCTGCCTCATACCTCCTGACTCCTCTCTCCTCCTTGTCCTCCTTATCCTCCTCCTCCTCCTCCTCCTCCTCCTCCTCCTCCTCTTTTTCAGCCCATGCCACGCCACCGTTCCCTTCTGTGCCCGTTCGGCGTCCGGGCCCGCTCGGCCCCCGAACGGGCAGCCGAGCGGGCGCAGCTCTGACAGGGTCGAGGCAAGTGGAGCCGGCTCGGCCGACGAGTGGGCTCGGCCGCGAGTCCATTCGGATGGGGTCAGGCGCCAAACGGGCTCAGAAGGGCAGCCGTGAGCAGAGCTCCGCCGAGCCCTCTTGCGCGACTGGGCATCCCGGCACAGCGCGGCCCAAGAGGGGGCAGCCTCGTCTCAGGTCGGGCGTGCCCTCCTACAGGCGAAGTTTGGATCAGCAGGTCAAACATACCCGAACCATATGAAACGTAACAATACTCAAAACATCTTCCCGAGACTATTGTCTGACTATTTCTGAATCTTCTTCTTGTAGAGGGACGCGCCCGACTTAAGCCTCGTCTCGGCGGCACAGCGGCCTCGCTCGCCGCGCTGCGGGCCGGCCTCCGATGTCGCTGCCGAGCGTCGGCAGGACCCCGCCGCTGCTGGTGCGGCCGCCACGGGGCCCCGATGGCCATGCTGGCAGGGGGCCCGCCGGCGCGAGGTGGGCCGAGGCCCCGAGGAGGACAAGGCAAGTACCCATGCCGCTGCCCTTGCCTCGTTTTCGCCTCTTTGGGCCTCCCGGGAGGCCTTCGCCCCGAAATCCTGGTCGGAACGCGCCCTGGGAGACTGAGAGGTTCGGAGAGGGGTTCGAGGATCAGCGGTGTCCTTCCCTTCTTGTCTGTCGCTCCAGAGGCGGTGGCCCTCTTCGAGAGGTCCCTCGACGCCGGCTCGCCGGGCGGCTACTCCGCGGCGGCGGTGGCGCTCGGGCGCGCGGGACGCTGGCGGGATGCGCTGCAGCTGCTCGGCAGCCTTCGGGGGCGAGCGCTCGCGCCGGGGCTGGCGGCGCTGACCTCCGCCGCGGCCGCCTGCGAGCGGGCGGCCGCCTGGTCCGGCGCCCTGGCGCTGCTGGCCGCCGCGGCAGCGGCGCGGCTGCGGCCGGACGTGATGCTCTTCAGCGTGGCGCTCAGCGCGATGGAGAAGGCGGCGCGCTGGCCGCTGGCGCTGGCGCTTCTCGGGTCCATGGCCAGCGGCCGCACGGCGCCGAACGTTGTCAGCTTCACGGCCGCCATCGGCGCCTGCGGCCGAAGTGGCGAGTGGCCTCGGACGCTGGTGCTGCTGGCGCAGATGCTCAGCAGCGGCCTGCGCCCGGACGCGGTCTGCTGCGCCGCGGCCGCGGCGGCGTGCGAGCGAGGCGCGCAGTGGAGCAGGGCACTTGACCTGGTGCTTGAGATGCAGGCTCATTCGGAATCAACGAGCCCCCAGCCCTGATCGTGCAGCGAAGACGTGGCCTCACTGAGGTCCCCGTCTTGGCATGCTGGCGCATGCTTCTGGGCGCCTTGGTCTGCGACAGCTGCAGAGAACGACCCCCTATCCCCAATGTTTTCGGCCTTCTGACTCGTGTCCCCTCCCAAAGGGTTATGGGTTGGAGGAGGAGCAGGAGGACGAGGACGAGGAGGACGAGGACGAGGAGGAGGAGGAGGAGGAGGTGACCCCCCCCCCCCAAGGCGGCGTGCCTGTGCCCTGGCGTGGTGGGCTTCAGCGTGGCCATCTCCGCGTGCGAGAAGGGCGGTCTCTGGCGCGGCGCCGTCGCGCTCCTGGCGCAGATGCGCCGCCGCCGGCTGGCGCCCAACGCGCTCAGCTGCAACGCGGCGCTGGCCGCCTGCGAGCGGGCCGCGCGCTGGGCGTCGGCCCTGCTTCGGTAGCAAGTCATGGGAGCCTGGCATACAGTCGACCCGCACAGTGTGGATGAGCGGCTTGTCCCAGGGTATCCTTGCATCCTTCCCCCTTTCGGCCCATCCTTGCCCGCTTCCGCTGGCCGCGCCCCGCTGGCAGAGTGTCGGCATTGCATCCTTATCGCGCATCCTTATCATACAGGTTGACTGTGCCCTCTCAATTCCGTCGTTAGCGTCGATTAACGTCGGTTAGCGTCTGGGAATCGACGAGATCGCGCCAATTTGAGTTCGATTCAACGTCGACCAGCGTCGATTGGCGTCTGGGAGTCGATGAGATCGCGCCGATGTGGCGGCGACTAGCGCCGACTTGGCGTCGATCCAGCGTCGATCTGGCGTCGATCCCGCGTCGATTCGCCAGAGCCGACAAAAAGGGGGTATGGAAGTCTCCCGTGAGTTGCCACCGAACCCTGCTGCTCCTCGCCGGCGCCCGCGGCGTGCCGGACGCGGTCGTCGAGTGAGGGAACACCGCCCGGGCCGGAGCAGTCGGGGTGCACTGAGCGGCCCTGGGCGCTTACCGAACAGCCCTGCCCCGTTCGATCTCTTCCGTGGGTGCGTGTACGGAACGGCCTGCGCCTCCTGGGTCAGCGCACGGCGCATATGCGCCGCCGTCGCGCGTCCTGGATGCCCCCGCAATGTGTTCCCGCGTTGGGCCCGCCTACCCCCCCCTCCTCCTCCTCCTCCTCCTCCTCCCTCCTCCTCCTCCTCCTCCTCCTCCTCCTCCTCCTCCTCCTCCTCCTCCTCCTCCTCCTCCTCCTCCTCCTCCCCTCCTCCTCCTCCTCCTCCTCCTCCTCCTCCTCCTCCCCTCCTCCTCCTCCCTCCTCCTCCTCCTCCTCCTCCTCTCCTCCTCCTCCTCCCCCTCCCCTCCTCCTCCCTCCTCCTCCTCCCTCCTCCTCCTCCCCTCCTCCTCCTCCTCCTCCTCCTCCCTCCTCCTCCTCCTCCTCACCTCCTCCTCCTCCTCCTCCTCCTCCTCCTCCTCCTCCCCCCTCCTCCCCCCTCCTCCAGGTCGGGCGCGTGGCGGCCCTCCGCGCCTGCGAGGGCGGCCAGCACGCGGCGGCGGCTGCGGCGCTGCTGCCGCTGCTGGGCGGCGCGCTGGCGGGCCCACCGCCGCCCGGGGCACCGCTGCCGGCCGGCAGGCCGCGGGTTTCGGTGCAGCGTTGTGTCGGGCCTGCCCCTCCTGCAGGAGGAATACAAACAGATAGTAAAGTAATAGTCTGGCGGCGATTGTTTGAATCTTGTTTTGCCCAGTTTAGGGCAGTGTTGGAGCATGTTCAGTTTTTCGCCCAAGATCCGCCCAAGATCCGCCCAAGAGCCGCCTGCAGGAGGAGTATAAGAAGATAGTAAAAGAATAGTCTGGGGACGGTTGCTTGAATCTTATGTAAGCGCTTCGCTCATGCTGCCGGCCCAGGAGCGCCATCTGGGGCCTCTCTGGGGCCGTCTTGGGGGCTCTGTGGGGGCTTCTTGGGAGCGTCTTGGGGCTCCTTGGCGGCGTATTGGGCTCCCCTGGGGCCTCTTGGGGGGCTCTTGGGGGCCCCTTGGGGCGGGAGGGGGGGTAGTCGATTGCAGCCCCCCCCCCTCGGAGGCCACGATCCTCGTGAGCGGTCGCGAAAAGTAGCCTCCGTCCTGGGGATCGCCCAGGAGCCGGACAGGGGTCAGCCGGGGTACTTTTCGTCCGGGGCCCCCCAGGGGCCGCCCCGCGCGCCCGAACTAGACATACTGTTAAGTAGTTGCCAGAGACCTTAGCACGCCTCTGGCCCGCTGGGCCGGCCAGTTTTGCCCAGTTTAGGGCAGTCTTGGAGTATGTTTAATGTTTTGCCCAAGATCCGCCTGTACAGACCCGGCTTAATTTAGTACAGCAGTGAGCTCTGAGGAGGGCCGTTGGAGACGCAGTTGGCCCTCGGGGGCCCCTCGTCGCCACGTCTGGACGCAGCGCGGAAAATTGGTGCGCTTGGACCCGGGGAGGGGTCCAGGGGTCTTTTTGAACTCCCAGCGTCGCAAGCCACCCTGTCGCGAAAAGCGCGGATCGAGCGACGTCCAACGAAGGCGACGCTGGGGCGGGGGGGGGAGGCAGGAAGTTGGCGGCGCGCACCGTGGGGCAGGGGGAGGGAGGGAGGCTTCCTAGAAGCACCCCTGCTTCTCAGAAGGCCCAGGCCCTCTCTGCAGATGTAGAGCCGTCGCCTTCCAAGAAGCAGCCTCCTTCTAAGACGCCTTCCCCCTCCCCCCCTACCCCCCTTTGCGCGCCGCCAAGGAAGGAAGGGCCCTCCTTCCCGGGCACACGAAAGGGGGGGAGCGGGGGAGGCCGACCCCCCCCCCCCGGGCACTCGAGACTCTCTCCTTCCCACGCGCGGGTGGGGTGGGGTGCTCCTCTAGGCCTCCTAGATGGGGTCGGAGTAGATGGGGCCGGAGGATCCCGCCACATCGCCGGATGCATCGGCGATGCGGCTCGATGTCGAGCCCGATTTTCTTCACGCCGGAGTCGCCAATGCATCGCCGATGCGGCGAGATCCTCGGACCCCATCTACTCGGACCCCATCTAGGATCCACTCTGGCAGTCGAGACGCTCTCCTTCCCGCGCGCGGGGGGGTGGGACTTCTGGCATCCGGGAGACTCTCCTTCCCGCGCGAGGGGAATGTGCCTTTAGCCCAGGTCGGCGGCGTTCCGGCGGAGAGGAGGAGGAGGAGGAGGAGGAGGAGGAGGAGGAGGAGGAGGAGGAGGAGGAGGAGGAGGAGGAGGAGGAGGGTGAGGAGGAGTGAGGAGGAGGAGGAGGAGGAGGAGGAGGAGGGGGAGGAGGATGAGGAGGGGGAGGAGGAGGAGGAGGAGGAGAAGGAGGAGGAGGAGGAAGAGGAGGAGGAGGAGGTGGAGGAGGAGGGCCTGCCCGTCGGTGGGGGCGACCAGGGCCATCCTGGACCAGTCCATTTTTTCTGCCACGGTGAAGTATGCTGCGAGGCATAAGGCTGCCTTCAATTTCGGCCCCGGGAAAGCCGAATGCATGGCGGTACACGGCAGCCCCATGTTCGATTTCACTGGCATGGGATTCGACCTCGTGCTGACGCACCAGATGCTGGGTATCACCCTTGACGCGGAGCTGTCCTTCGACCCCCACGCGAAGGCTACCCTGGCCATGGGGCGCTCCTTGTTCGATGAGCTTTACCAAGCAGCGGAGGCGGGCGGGTTTCCGGTTCGTGTCCTAGCTGCCCAGGCGTTGATCAGAATTGTGCCCGCAGTGCTGGCAGGTGCTGCTGTGCTGGCCGCCGTGCCCAACATTGAGAGTGATCTCAATAGTTTGCAAGCGTACTGGGCCAGGGCCACCTTGGGCTACAGACGTGGCCCGCGGCTGAAGTGGGCCCTCTCGCGCCTTCAGTGCCAGTGGGACCTGAGGCTTGGAACGCTCATGATCCTGCAGGTGGTCATGGCACGCGCCAGGCTCTGGGTCCTCCCGGAGGGACACCCGGCGACGGCGATGCGGGATGCCGCGCGCCAGTCGCCGGCGCCCTCCTGGTGGCGTGCGGCTGGCCAGCTCATGGCCAGCATGCCGAACGGGCCCATTCGGGACATCAGCGCCAATGAGGGGTTCACAGAGGAGGTGGTCGCAGCCCGGTCTTCGCCAGCATCCCGAAGGTCGCTGCTACGGCGGTGCCGCCAAGAGGTGGCACTGCCAGCCCTGCGCGCCTATGACCAGCCATCGGTAGATGCGGCGGCTGACCGTCCACTGCCATGTCTGGGGCTACCGTTTCGCAGCTTCATGCCGGCCATGCAGCGAGGCACGCAGCAAGACATGTTTGAAGATCATGGAGGAAATCTGAACTATAGGCTCTGGGCAGTATGCAGGGTGACTGGCCGCTGGCCGCTGCCAGTCCTAGGTGGGGGGGACGCGCCGCTGGTTCTGCCGCGCTGTGGTGCATGTCCCAGCACAGAGGTGGACGTCTCCCATGCATTGCATGCGTGCGGGCACACCTCGGCGTCACGACGCCAGCTGTGGGCATCCATCGACGGCGGGGCGCCTACGACGCAGCAGGCGGCGAACCTGGCCCTACTTGGCCCGGAAGCGACCGCCGACTGGATCAAGTATGTAGGCTGGGCGCTGGTACGCTGTGCAGGGCGGCGCTGAGCACCTGGAAGCGGTTGGCGGATGAAAGACTCTGGCCTGTGCCCCTGCCAGGTGCGGCCTCCCCGCGCCCCCCCCGCCTGGCCCGCGGACGGAGCGCCCACCGGGCGCAGGGCGCGCTGGGGAGACCACTGCGGAGAAACCGAGAAACCGAGGGGGAGGAGGAGGAGGAGGAGGAGGAGGAGGAGGAGGAGGGAGGAGGAGGAGGAGGAGGAGGAGGAGGAGGAGGGAGGAGGAGGAGGGAGGAGGAGGAGGAGGAGGAGGAGGAGGAGGAGGAGGAGGAGGAGGAAGGAAGGAGGAGGAGGAGGAGGGGAGGAGGAGGAGGGAGGAGGAGGAGGAGGGAGAGGAGGAGGAGGAGGAGGAGGAGGAGGAGGATGAGGAATAGGAGGAGGAGGAGGGAGGGAGGAGGAGGAGGAGGAGAAGGGAGAGGAGGAGGAGGAGGAGGGGAGGAGGAGGAGGAGGAGGAGGAGGAGGAGGAGGAGGAGGGTGGCGACGCGGCCCCAGCTCCCTCGTGCCGCTCGCGCGCCGCCCCTTTTCCGTGGTCATCCCTCGCTGCTCCCCCCTCCGCCCGCCGCCATCCCCCCCCCCCCGAGAGTCTAGACTCTCTCCTCCCTTCTCATTCCTCCTCCCCCTCCTCCTCCTCCTCTCCTCCTCCTCCTCCTCCCTCCTCCTCTCCTCCTCCTCCTCCTCACTCTCCTCCTCCTCCTCCTCCCCCCTCCCCTTCCCCTTCCTCCTCTTCCCCCACCTCCCCTCCTCTGCACCCATCGCCCCCTCTCCTCCTCCTCCTCCTCCGCCTCCTCCTTCTCCCCTCCTCTTCCTCCGCCTCCTCCTCCTCCTCTCCTCCCCCTCCTCCTCCTCCTCCTCCTCC